CAGAATATTATATGTCTAAATAAAAGAAAATAAAATAAATTAGGTACTAAAAACCCATTAACACCCATTTGCTTCTCACTTAAATAGTAGAAAATTTGATTACAAAACCGAGAAGAAAGAAGATGGCTTCAAGATCTCCTATGTAAATACAGTTTTAAGATTGGGTTATTTCTCAACAAGTGTTTTCATATTATTATTTAAGATGGCTTCAAGATCTCCTATGTAAATACAGTTTTAAGAGTGGGTTATTTCTCAACAAGTGTTTTCATATTATTATTTAATGTTATCAAATTTACTGAATGTACACTGACAGGCAAAAAATTCCACCCACTTGATTTTTTCATGTTTTCATCTAAAAATATTTCACCTACTTGTAAAAAAAAATTGTATTTGTATATAATACATGGTATTTGTAGATAATACTTAGTATTTATGGAATTTTATAATCTTTTTTACCTTTAATAATCAAAATCAACTCTGGTCCTCTTACTGGACGAAAAGCCATTAATCCATACTCATTTAATCTTCTCCGAGGCATACGTTCAGAAATTTGCACACTTCGAACTTCTAGCACACTTCGAGCTGATGAATCGCTTGAACAACGGTAAGGTGCCGGTTTTGTAAAATTCTCGAAGTCAAAAACCGATCATCCCGTGGTTCTGTTACCTTAGGCCGTCCAGAACTGGGCCTTCTATTGTAAGAACCAGTTTCCCGAAAACGCCTGACGGCATCTCGTAAAGTTTCATATGGAACTCCGATGGCATTAGCTGCATATCTAATGGATCGTCCATCATCAATATGTACCACACCACGCGCAACATCCTCAGCACTAAGAGGCATTTTTAAACTTAATATTGAAAAAATTAAAGGCCGGAGATTAAGAAATGTGCTGCAAGAAACGGTACTGAACTAATGATACTGAATAAACATTTTGATTCCATAGAAAGTAAACATTGGAATCTAGAATCATTTCATTGAATTAAGGATTAAGAGTTATTATCCTCTATATTAACATTTCTAATTGAAAACAAACAAAAAGATTTCCTATTTATTCACTAAACAATAGACCAATCCAAAGCAGAAATATTTTTAGATGAAAACATGAAAAAATCAAGTGGGTGGAATTTTTTGCCTGTCAGTGTATTTTTATTCTTAATACAGTTGTGAATATTATAAATAAATAATAAAATTGGAGAATAAAGTTGCTCTACAAAAACACTTGGACGTTTGGCGTGATCCTGGAATGTCACTTTTTCACATTAAATTTATTAATTTAATCTTCAAAATACTTAATTTAATAATCATGAAAATCTATTGCTTTCCACTTGAATCATAAGATAATTTAATCACAAAAACGAGAAAAAAAGTTGTGTACAAAAAACATGAGGCCGTTTGGCCTATATAGACCTCGTTATTTTGACCTATTGGGGCTAGAGGTCATGCCAAACAGCCCAATATATTTGTAGGCCACCATTTTACTTGATTTTGTAATCAAATTATCGAATGATTCAAGTGGCGAGCAAGTGGATGTTCATAAGTTTAAGTTTCATAAGACATTAACAATGTATAAGAATATTTATTATATAAGAATTTTCGTAAATAAAATTGTTGATTAACATGAAGCCGTTCAAGAAGTTTTAGACAAATGTTAATAATTTTATGAAAAGGGTTGACTTGTTTAAATTTTTTCTTAAATCCACCAATTATCTCTCTAAAATAATGTGTGGGTAAATTAAAAAAAAATGGTTGGATTAATTTTATGTTATCATTATATAAATAAGTAAAGCCAAAAAAGTTCATTACTTTTCTCTCATCCATTTGTCAACTGAATTTCTTTTTTATTTAGTAGCAATCGACTAGCATTAGTGTTAAAAAAAGACGAAAGTATGCATAAAAAGTACAAATATCCGTTTTTTCGAAACTCTTAATGTCCGAAAGTTCTACACCGATTCCTTTTAAATTTTCCAACGAATTCAAGAGTGTTTTTATATAAGTACGTTTTATTATAGACTGTAGCCTCACAATGGATGTTACAGATTTTAATGAAACTTGGCTAAAAGTCTTCTCCTAAAGCCATTTTAATGTATGTATATAATACTTAGAAAGGTTTTGAAAAACTCGAGGTTTCAAAATTCGATGGTTCAAAATAAAATAAATTATGTTATAAAAAAAAATGTATGAGGACGACCAAAAAAGATCTGCTTACAGAAACTGGTCAATCAATATCATGATAAGAAGGCAAGGAGGTTAATAGCACAGGCGAGGTCTTAGCGATTGGGAATAAGAGTCTGTTTTTCAAAAATGCTTAAGTATAACGATTTTAAAGCATCTCTTTGTCTTGTCTTTATGTTTGGTAGAGAAAGGAGTGTATAAAGGTTCTAATGAACCGCTATTTTGAAACGAATTAGTAGATGGAGTTTTAAGGACGATACTTTTTTTGTAGGTTAACTTATTTTCTTTTTCTCGGTCAATTACAAAGTAGCGTGATTAAAATAATAATTAAAGAAAAATGTAGTTATACAATTCTTTAAAGGCAAATTTCGTACATTTTAGTGCGTTCTTATTCTACATTACCATATATCTATTTATTTTTATCTTTAATAAATCGGCTCACATTCGTTACTTTAAAAAGGTACCGACGATATGATAAAATAAAATGACATATTTATATTTTTATAAATGCATGATTTTTTTATAAATATCCGCTCAGGTGCTCAGAAAATGAAGGTCAGCTATATATGGAATTGAATAATAAATTATATTCCTGCCTATAGTATAATTACGATCGAATGCTGACACGCTATAAACTTTATTTATAGTTCAGTTAAAGAAGAATTTATTGTGAGTTGTGACAATGAAACTTCGTCAAGGACAGTTAAGAGTAGACAACATAATTTTATCTTTTTTTATAGCACTATAAAAACTCTATGAGGCGATACTCTATTTAAAGAACTACAATTCTTGATTCTATACGGCCCATAAAAACCGATTCTATTCCAGAACATTAGTCAATTGTACAGAAGTTGTATGTAGGAGGCCCAGGAGAGATAAATATATATATACCGATATATAAATCGTTTGGGCCATTGAAAAAAAAAGCTTCTTAAGACATTGGACAAATTATCCTTCACATACGACTGGGTCTGTTTACAGGACGGCGATTAAGTTGAGTTATGTCTGTTTATCCTCTCGTCGTCGTCTTGAGGAAAATATCAATCTGTTGCCATCCCATCGGCCACAAGTGGCTCTCTCTGTGATGAAGATTTATCTCTAACATTCAAGATGAAATACGCTGTTGACTGAGAGTCTCTTCTCGTTCCTTTCTTTACCCAAACAGCAGAAGTAGGACGGCCTATTTTTATTTCCTCCGAGGAATAGACGATGTTTCAAGTTAATGGCTTCAAGTGTGGTTGTTTATTCTGGAAAATGCTGTAGACATTTAAAACAATACCAGAGATTTAAAAGCTATGTATTCACGATGGGGGTTAAACAAATTTTTATAACGAGGAACAAAAATTCTCAATCGCGTTTTACGTTTTTACATCAAGGAACTAGTTGTTAACTTTAATTTCGAAGGAGGTTTAACTTTCTTGCTAGATTATTGTATTTCATTAATGAGAGCCTAACTATCCTTTCCAAAAACAAGATTTGGGTGGAAAGAAAATTATTCTCGGAAGAAGACAAGTTTTTTTCTCTTTTTTACAGTTGTAAAATATAAGAAAAGCAGTTATGATATATGATTTCAAGATCTGGAATCTAACCAGCACCCCAAAAATAATCATTGAAAGATTTGGGAGAAAAATACTCCGTATAATAACCGGATCAATCAGTAATAAGAGTATTACCGTATCTAGGAGAAAGGCTAACAGAACGGCTTATAAAAATTAGTGAAGCAATACCTCATGATATGAAGGCAAGGAGGTTAAATAAACATGTAAATAAGCATATGGACCTCACAATATCCTAGCCTTAATATCGGCATGTAATTGTTTTTCCTTTCATGGAGAGTAGGTAAAAAGTTTTTATTTTTCAACAGTGACTTTTTTTTTAAATTTTGTTACCGTCTGTACTGTTGTAACTAAATTGCCTACATTTAATTTAAATTATTTAATCTACCTGTAAATCATTTTTCCGGTTCTCAAGAGCGATGAATTTTGATGAACGAGATATCAACCGAAAGAAAATTTCATAGAAGAGTGACGAAAATAAATTGATATAGTTAAATTCCTACCACAATTTTAACAACAATCATTGAAAAATTTTAGAACCTTCAAATTTCGACTGATCGAAACGAAATAAATTTTGTTTTAAAAATAAATATTGCGTAGACGAGCAGGACCAACAAAGAATTATTTACAAAAATTGGCCAGTCAATATGCCATGTAATGAAGGCGTGGAGGTTAAGATTGGTGAGGAGTGTACCTGGGAGAAATTCATCAGGAAGTCTCTACCCATCAATGAATGTCTTAATTGTACGCAAGAGACCATGTGAGAGGTTAAAGTCCAGATGAATACTTCACATTCACGAAGACGCTACAGAGCTTCAAGCATAAAACTAGAAAGCAATTGCCAAAGATAGGCAGAGATGAATAAGGCTGGTTAATTTGGCAAAATATTTGTAAAGCCAAAAATTCATTAGAAAAAAAAAATAAATTATTTTGCTTTATTCTGAAGATAATTCCATTTTTTTAATTGACCTTATATGTAATAAATCAAAATATAATATTAACATTATTATTTAACCAATGAGTGCAGTCTTTCTGCTTATTAAGCCTGATTCAGGCCCGATCACCTACCTGTACAACCGTTGGCCTTAAAACTCTTCATGGGTTGTAGTGGCACAATTTTTTTTTTTAATTCAATTAATTAATCAATTAAAACTAAACAACATAAAAGTGTATATATACAAAAACGTAAAAATACTTCTCATAGCCCATTCCAAAAACACTTCCCAAAACTGACTTCCATCTGCTTCTAGTCGCAGGTGGCCCAGCTGACTTATGCCTCCGATTTCCGTCAGCTGTTTTATTTTCCCATACACGTCAGGGCGAAAACAATTGACACTGTCGGCAGAACGGCGTGGAGCAGAATTTAGGGTATGGGTCCCCGAAGCAGAGGGTCCCCAAGTTGTTAGTGTGTTTTATAGCCCTGCTCCAACGGTGGTGGGGTAACTTAGGTTCAACTGTGAATTGAATGGAACCGGGAAGGAGATTGATGTCGAGGTTATCTTTTTTTAATTCAATGTAGTGTAACAAATAAACTAAAACCAATATTTAAATGATCTAAATTAAATTTAAATTTAAAGTGATCCATAAGTAAAAAAAAAAATGTGTTCGATTACTCAGATTGAATTATATGAATATTTTTTTCATGTGTTGTTCGTCAAAGATTTATTTTTTTAAAGGTTTTTATTTACAGGTAATAATGGCGGTTCGATTCAAGTCCCACTTCTTTTAAGGCTCCTACAAGTGTGATGTAAATTCATATTTTATTGTGTTTTTTTTCTTTACTTAAAAATAACTTTTACTGCCGCAAATTCAAGATAAGCAATGTTATTTATAAAAAAAAAAAAAGTCAGATTTTTTAATTTAATTTAATTTTTTTTAGGTGTCTCAAACATTAATTTTGGGGTCCCAAATGGTTTAGGTATTTATTTTGTCTATCTATAGTGAAATGCATGCCAAATACAAAATCTTACCGATTTTATAGTAATAGTCGATAAGTTAATATTTACAGAGTGTCCCCTAAGTAGAGGGAAATATTTAAAAGGTTGGTAGTATACTTTAAGATCTACAAAAAATATCTATAAAATATTGCCCAACTTTCAGCAGAAAAATAAGAAATTTAAGATTTGTGTTTTTTTAAGGGGTTTATTTTTTTTTATTGAATATGCAGCAATAACATATATAATATTTGATTGAAGAATATAAACATTGCTCCATAGTAAACTAGACAAAATTTATTTTAAATGAGTTCGTCATTGCTAAAACTATTGGGCGGATAAACACAGCCTCTGTTTAAAAAAAAAGTAATAAATTAATTGTGATTTATTTTTTTATGTCCTGCACTACATTTGGATAAGTCCCCATTACGTAGAGGCTTTCAGATGGATTGCTCTGAGCTACATGACCCGCCCATCTTAACCTCCGTTCCTTTATATCATGGGATATTGATCGACCAGTTTCTGTAAGCAGTTTTTTATTGGTCTTTTTTCCCCATGTGTTAGTACTCTGATCCCAGATCGCTTCGGTTATCGTGGGAAGGATTTTCATCTCAATTTTTTAAAATATTTTTTCTTGTGTGCTGGTTAGTGTATAGATCTCACGGCATTATATTAGAACTGGCTTTATCATAGCATTGGACAACCTTAATTTGAGATTTTTCGGGATTTCAATACTTTGAGAGAGAGGGAGAAGAAAGCTCTGTTTGCACTAGTTATAGGCTGGTCTATTTTTGCCCGTTGGTAATTCATTGAGGTAATTGTGGAGCCGAGGTATTTGAATTTTTTTACTTTCGGAAATGATTTTCCTTCTACGCTGATCCTGTTATTGGGGTAGAATTTTCGGCTTATTATCATATATTTTATTTTGTCTTTATTTACTTGTAGGCCGATCCGCTCTGCTTCTCTTACTATATATATATATATATATATATATATATATATATATATATATATAATATATATATATATATATATATAATCCTTCAGATGTATCAGAGTAGGTAAAGTCTGAAATATTCCTACTATTAGTAAGGAGCGATAATATTAATAATAAAATCGTTAAAATAAGAAAAATGTATTTTTTTCCGGTCCTATAACTAATTAAATATTTCAGTATCTGCTTCATTCATGGCTCATTAAAAATTGTCGAAGTTAGGTCACATTTGACTGTTTTCACGTCTCTTATCCAGGGTTTGCTACGTTCTCTACAAATAAGGAAGGTGAAGTAAAACTTATTAATTAAAAGTTGAAAATGCTGGGCTAGATTTCCTTTCGAGATAAGTATGGTATTCTATTAATACTATATGGTATACCATGGCTCAATGGGACATTCAGAACCCTTCAACGACCCACTTCAACGTGGAACTAGCGACTACACATGACCCGCCTCCAATTCAAAACTTCTAACCACTACCAACCACTACTTCATCGAATCCACTCCAAAGGATGGAAGTTACTTCTAGTTGAAAAGCCTCTCCTAGGAACCCGGGGCATTAGAAAACAACTGGGAACAAGACGACAACTGCAGAGCGGGACAGGAGCTGGTAATTGCGATCGAAAACTTAAATAGGCAACGAGTGTCCCGGGCCCTCGACGAAGTTGGGACTTGGGACTTAACGAATGACAATGGCGTGGGGTGCGATGAGCAACGATTCGTTCATTAATAACAGGCAGAGAGCAAATAACTCATCAAGAGTCAGTTTACATTTGTTAGTTATCGCTCATTAGGTGGCGCCACTGGCCCAATTAAAACTCAGCGAGGAGATGACTAACTCTTTGCCAGAGCTTCCGCTCTTATCAGCGCATTTAGGAGCTCTCATTTTATATTACTTATTTCTGCTAACATATAAATATAAATAAATATATACATATATATATTATACATATATATATATATATATATATATATATATATATATATATATATATATATATATCGGTACCGATATCCTCAAGCAGAGATGGACTGAAAGGAAGAAATTAAAAAAGAAACCAATTTAGTCCCGTAGTCCTTCAGGGCTGTTTCGCGTCAAATAAATAATAATGTATATATATTGTGTTTTATTTTTAAATTGTGATAGATATTTAATATTATCAAAATATAAAATTGAGCTGTTCAACTTTATTTCCAAGATAGACATAAAATTAAATTCAAACTCGAATCATAGAACTGTATGAAGTTATATGTTTTTTAAAATGTTTATTACATATATTTATATCTTGTTTATTTATAATCCTGAGTTTTAGTTTTATTATTTCAACTTTATGTATTTATAACGTTTCTTAAATATTTATTTGTAAATATGTTTCTCCCTTTTTTTATTTATTTATTTTTCAGCTTTTTTTCCTGTTATTTTATTTATATTTATTTACAATGTTGTTATTTTAGTTTTACTATATTAATTTATTATATTTATGTTAAATATTTCTATACTTATATCTGGAATATTTGTTTTGTTTTAACTAATATTGCGCTTGTTAACTTAATTTTATTCTTCAAAGTTTATTTTATATAAAATTTCTTTAAAATTATAGGTTTTGTAAAATTATATAAACTTAATTTAAGAGACTGTTTCATCATTCAATTCTCACACAAATTTAAGTGGTATACAATAATTTCGTTGTCCTCAATACTTTAAAACATCTAAATCTATTTCATATATATATATATATATATATATATATATATATATATAGGTATATTTTATTTTTCTTTGTAATATACAAGCACTATAAAAATATATAAGTATTTGTAGCTCTAGTTATACTTTTTCTTTACTTCTTATTTTAAGTTGTTACCTTTAATTTTTATATTTAAAAAAAATAATAGAAAATAAAAAAAGCTTTAGCATATATAAAATGTAAGTATAACATTCATACACATAATGTGCAATATCGCATGGTCTATGTAAACTGTTTCAAATGAACTTCTGCATAGCATTACTATGCATGAGGAAAAACAATTGGTAGGTTATAAGAACAGTGGTTTTTATTTTACATATGTTATTTATTCTCATGGTTATTACAAAATTATAAGATGATAGATTTATATTATAATTAAAAGAGCGTTGTAGTTAAATCATTTCAAGTTCCTAGTTATACAATGAACTTTAAAAACTGTTTTTTTTAGATAAATAACAAATTGTAAATATTGTTTAGCATTATTTATTACTAATTAGTTTTTTTTTGTAATTGATGTTGAATAAAATTTTTCATGAGGGATTTAACGGCCTAAAGTTTTTTCATTATGTATACATAATTCTTATTATTATTTTTTTAAAAATTGGGGTGCTACCAATGGGTAGTTTCTCTTCATGTTGTACATGTCATACTACTTGTTCATATTTACTTGTTGTATTTATTATTAATTACAGTTGTAAATTTCGTTAATAAAAAAATAAAATAATTTTTTTTTAAATTTTATATATAGAACACAAAGGAGAAATCTAGGATGCGATGAAGCTGCTTAAAGAATAAAATACAAAAATAATTATAAAGGAGTGATTAGTTGAATCAATGGAAGCACGTAAAGCTCATCACTAACGAGAGGATCTGTTATACTTCGATAAGGCCACTCCATGGATTTTTTTTAGTGCCTTTCTTATATCTTGTAAGATTATTATATCTTAGGACTGGAGGGAGAGGGTATCCCATTATTAGGCATATTAAGGGTATGCAGTAGAAGGCCATAAAGACAAAATTAATGTATATATATATATTTTCTCTTTATACTTTTATATTATAATTTTTCTAGCGGAAGGAGATGGTGAGGGGTGGCGGTCATAAATAGACTAAAATAGTGGCAAAACTATTTTATTTTAAGCCAACGTTTCGATCTGACTTTGCATGTCTTCTTCAGGGCTAAAACGGAACATCGTTACCATTTATTTACTTCATTTTAGGAATATATTATTTAGTTTACTCTGTTTATATAGTTTGATTTTTTTTAATATCTCAATGTACTTACTTTTTAATATTTCCATAAGTTTATTCACCCTATTTATAAGTTTTATCTAAATATTATGTAATTTCCAAAATTGTCTGTATTTTTTTGTATCTTGTCCGTTCTGTGTTTGAAGAAGACTTGCAAAGTCAGATCGAAACGTTGGCTTAAAATAGAATAGTTTTGCCACTATTTTAGTCTATTTATGACCGCCACCCTCACCATCTCCTTCCTCTAAAATACAACGGTAAACTATTAAGTATTTAATATAACTATTCTAATGTAATTTGTAATTTTTAGCAATAATGATAGTTCATATGCTTGGGTTGAAATTAAATAAACATTGAATGCATGTAATGACTATTTTCCTTCTTTTTTTTTTCTTTGGCAAAATGTATGAAGGTTTATTTTAAGCTTTTACACGAAAAAATCCATCATTATATCGACAGTCATTTATGTATCCATATCTAAATTAAAAGAAATAGTTTGATATAATTTATATGATCTGTTTTATTTTACAATCGTAAATCTGCATTTCAACCCAAAATAGAATTTGGTTTATGAAGCTCTCCAAAAATCTTTAGGCCATGCTGTATGAACCCTCGCACAATGTCCTGGAAGTTGATTCCTCACGAGCTCCAGATCCGATGGTCTTCCCAGTTCCAGCTCTAATGAAGCCATTTCGACTCCATCGGTGATTAGCGTGTTTCGTAAGTTAACAAAGGCGATGTTTGTCCCGTCACGATAATTGGACTAGGCGCTTAACGAGCGATATCTCGGATCTAGCGCTTAATTACTGCAAGAGGTATCTACCAGCAATCCTGCCATAAAAAATAAAAATAATAACAAAAAATCCCCCTTGGGCGGAAGAGATAAGGTAGCCCCTCTGTAATAAAAGTGTGATTGGGACAATAAGCTGCCTTAACTGATCAATATAATATCATTACGGCCGTGGGCCACTGCCTCCAGTAGTGACTCAACTGAGAGGGAGCACATGTGAGGCACAAGAGATGGAGAAAAAACATGGGAAAGCCTATAAGAGTATTTTAAGAATTGCGAAACATCTTTTAAAAAAAAAGTTCCCAGAGCTATAGACCATCTTGATTTTTATTCTTAGTAGAATTTTCTGTTTATATTTGTAACTATGAGTTCAATTATAATTAGAAAGTTTAAAATAATAAAACACATACAACAATGGAGTTATGTTTATTATATATGTTGGTTTATTATTTTCAATTATGAACCATTGAAATTCAACAAAAAAATCAAAAACTTAACCCCCTCCCAAAATTTGAGGTTTTACGTTTCAGGATGCACAGAATTCGAAAAACGAATAACAATTTTTTTTCTATGAAACTATTGAACCGATTTTTTTTTTTTAAATTTGTATTTAAAATTATAGGTCACCCGAGGATGATCATCTTTAATAGAAATTTCTTTCCACCTTTTCTTTTCAAGATGGCAACCGAAAAACTATGTTGCTATAGACTGTAGCGCCTAAACGAATGTACCGATTTCAATGAAACTTCGTTAAAATCTTCTTATCGATGCCCTTTAAAGTTATCTATAGAACATACTTCAACGAAAAGAAGCTGGAAAAAAAATACGAGGGATGGTAAATTTAGATTCCGAATAACTCAAAAAGTATACACTTTTTTGTTGGTATTATATGGTTATTTAAAATTATACGGAATTTCCTAAAAATCATAAACAAAATCGTTAAAATCGGACAATTAGTAGCAAAGATATGATCTCTAGATGTTTTTTATATGTTCTACTGCAAAATTATATCCTTTGTTTTGGCTTTTGATTTTTGAATGTGTTATTAAAGTAATGCTAATTTTGTTAGCATATTGCTAATGATTAAAAAAAAAGTTTAGTCCAATAATTGGAATCACCTCTTATTTCTTTTTCTTTGTCACTAAGAAAGTAATGTTACTTTAGATGTATAATTGTTTGGAAATAACAAACCATTGTGAAATAATTTGCTGCCTTTTTTTCTTATTATTAAACAAATAATAAATGGTTGAATGTATAGCAAAGTAGCGATAATGAAAAGTATGTATTTTAATGCTTCATTACATTTGACAAAAATATCTGTGCCCGGATGTCAACGACATAATGTCCGTTTTTTCATTAAGTAATTTAGTAACAAAGAAACATATTTTAATAGCTCAAAATTATGAAAATTGGCGCCCTTGATAAAAAAAAAGAATAGGTTTTGTTTACCTCCGGAGTACAGATATATTCTTGCAAAAATGTTAGGAAAGTAAAATTATGGTTACATTCTAAATTCTCTACCCCGGAGTCAAAGAATGTCCATTTTATAATTTGTTCAGAGGATCCAATGTTCCATAACTTTGAGCTATTAAAATTTGTTTTTTAGTTACTAAATTATTTAATTAAAAAATGGATACGGAGTCCTTTACTTCCAGGCCACACAATTTCATTTTGAAAATTTTAAATATATTTTGTAGTTTTTTGTTTAAGGAAAGTCATGTGGTCTCATTATGATGCAAAATTATTTTATATTAAAGTAGTCATGAGAAATCTTTACCAGCTGATCGGGCCTTAGGTGATCATACACTCATATAAACAAACACCCACACAGCTTTTTGTGAGACTTGGTTACAGGTGACTAATGGACATTGAAATAAGTATTTACATTGATAAATGATGTTTCAAATTTCTCTTGGTCGTATGATTTCATATTGGGGTAAGTGTAACTAAAGCAGACCCTACACGGTAATTCATGAATGAACGTCACAAGAAGTTCCAAGATTGCCCGCTATCGCTTTGATCATGAAGACCCTTACACGTTCAATCATTGCTGATCATTACTTATCGTTGCTGATTTAGGTTAGATCGTTGCTGACCAAT